ATAAGTCAGAGTAGAAATTTGTTTTTTCAAAGTTATTACAAATATAAAATGGTCAAGATATAGCACACTATGACCTTGAAATATATATATATATACATATATATATATCACATAGGGAAAGATAGTATCAGAAAAAAATAATGAAAATCTCTGTAGGATGAACACTCATTTTGAGTCTAAAGAATTCTCTTTTATTATTAAAATTATTACCACCTATTCTTTGATCTTAGTCTCATATACTCTAAATTACTTCCACCTATCAATTACAAATTGGCATCTTTGAGATAAAGTCAACTTATTTTTGTCTTCAAGGAGAAGTGGGTGGCATTGAGTTCTGCTTTATTCCTCCCTCTTTACTATACCCAACATAATTCTTTGACTTCTGAGATTCCCATTTCTATTAATGAACCCTTCAAAAACATCTCACTTGCAACTAGGTTAGGCACTGGGAGAATTTTGCTCATTATTAATATTGCCAGACACAGCAGCTCATTTTCTAGCTCACTAGTTTGAAGGATATGTTCTTAAGCATGTCCTAATTAATAAAATGAGGGATATAGAGTCACATGCCCTCTGAGGAGAAGTGACAGTCTTTATTTAGAAGCCAGTTTTTGGTCACATGCATTGCTTTTGCTTATTTTTTTTTCACTTGGAATAATGGCTCTTATGTACTAACTGAACTTTGCCACAGCCATAAAGTATTCAGTAATAATAGTATCTTGTTATTGCTTCCTACAGTAAAAAACAAAACAAAAAAAAAACCCAAAAAACACACATCTTTCAGTCCATAAGTAGAAAAAGCATCTAAGTATGTCCACCATTAAATATTGTAGAATACAGTAAGTGATCGTCATACAAATCCATGATAAAAGTGACAACATGAAACTCTAAGAAATGAATTTCCCAACTAGGTGTTAAATAACAAAGATGATTTTTCTTCTGCTGCCTTTGTTTCAAAAAAGTGGACACTTTGTAAAATTTTTCTTATGAAATCCAATATTTTTTATGGAAAATCAGAACATTTGGTCTACACTTCCCTAGCATATACTTTAACCTAGAACATTTAAAATTATATTTTTGGAAAACAGTAAAAATGTGGAAGACAGAGAAAGAAAGAAAAGAAAAGAAAGGAAAGGAAAGGGAAGGAAGAGAAAGGAAAGGAAAGGAAAGGAAAGGGAAAGGAAAGAAAGGAAAGGAAAGGGAAAGGAAAGGAAAGGAAAGAAGGAAAGGAAAGAAAGGAAAGGAAAGGAGAAGGAAGGAAAGGAGGAAGGAAGGAAGAAGGAAGAAGGAAGGAAGGAAGGAGGAAGGAAGGAAGGAAGGAAGGAGAAGGGAGGGAGGGGAGGGAAAGAAAATAAAAGGTACTAGTAGGTTTTAGATTTATAGGAATGCGTATGAAAAATATACAATGCTATTCCAAAGTCATAACTATATTTGTATCTATCTATCTATATAAAATTTAGCAAACCTAACTAGTTTTTTTTTTAAGTTTATAAACTCTGGTTGAACTATAAAAGTACTTTTGTATTAAAAACTATAGAAATAAGTATACACTGAATTGAGACTGTTAAAATTTTTGTGGCAAATATTTAATAACTCTCATTTAGTTCATCTGAAGCCTTTATTTTTCTGAGAATAGAAATCTGGAAACTACCAGTAAGAGAAGATACTAGTTCATCAACTATTTCGACATTATTCTCAAAGTTTTCAAAGTATTTTTCATACTACTTAATATTGTTAGCTATCCAAGCAAAAATTCTACCTTTCAAAGTTTGGATGTGTAGATAGTACACTCATAAAGTCTAAAAGAAAGTAAACTCATAATGCACAAAAAAAGTGTGAGATAATGTAACTGTGGACTTAATGAGGTTCCCACTTAAAGAAATGGTAGCAATTCCTCCCACTGTACTGCTAAAACATTAGAACTTCGTTGATTGACAATAGTGGTCCAAAAATCAACAACAGACACTGTGAACTAAAATAAAATTTTAAGGCTCACCCCCCACCAGCTGACTGAATGGACGCCCTCATGGCCAAAGGGATATTCCAAAACTAAATTGCCTGCCAGAAGGAGGGAGGTTAGACATGCCCCATCATGCTCCCCTTCTTTCTTAGGGACATCCTTTGTAACCCATTAGCAGGCCTAAGTGTATTCAAGACAAACCTGTAGGTCGTCAATTTGCACAACAAATCTATGTCTTGTGGCTTATCTCTGATAAACATCTCCTTATGTTAAAACATTTCAAACTTTTAGACAAAGCTTCATGTCTTTAACCAATTACAAGTCAAAGAATCTTTAAACCCACCTATAACCTGTAAGCTTCTGCTTGGAGATGGCCCCCCCTTTTCAGGTCAAACCAATGTATGCCTCCCATGTATTGATTTATGACTTTACCTGTAACCTCTCTCTCCCTGAAATGTATGAAACCAAACTGTAACCCAGCCACAGAGAATCCACCTGCTTAAGGCTTTTGGGGAGTGGCTCCGGGTCATGGTCCTAAAATTTGGCTCAGAGTAAATCTCTTTAAAATTAGATTACAGAGCTTGGTCTTTTTTTTTTTTTTTCTTTTGACAACACTCAAATACATCTGACAGTTATCAGTAAAGTAAATGAATAATGTAGGACCCACAAAATATGGAGTAAACACAGGTAAACCAGTTACTAGACATCCCTGGAGTTGGGTTGCTCTAGGAATGATCAAAGACTATTCTAAGGTTGGAGTGGGAGTTTATTAATCTAAGGCAGGTTATAGGGTGTTAAGGCTAGAAAGAAGGCATGAAATTGGGTGCCTAAAACATAAAAGGAAGAAAAAAGCATCTATGCATTAGCCAAGTCCCTGGAGCCTAGGTATTTTGCTGGAGGAGCAACAGGAGTAGCTTAGCAGTGATCTAAATTTTCAGCAGTCTCTAGTAGGACTGTGAGAGCCACACTGCCAGATATCTTACTGTTGCTGCTTAGCTGATGAAAGAGAAAATGGTCTTTAATTTTAGAATAAGAGAAGTCAGCAGTAAGACTTTGTGAAATCAAACTTTCATTCACAGGTGGACCAGAGCCCAGTAATCTGAAAACCTATAGGCTGGCTAAAGCTAATTACAGACGAATGAGATAAAGCACAAGGCATATAGCATTAGAAACTGAAAACAGGAGAAATGAAAGTGAGAGGCTGTGCTGTAAAGCAAGGTTAAACACCAGTCACTCTTCAGACATAGAAAGTGTGTAGGAACTCACTTATTGGAGACACAATTGCATGAGGTAAGAACTCAGTGGCTTGAGAATGGGAATAATGCAAAGAATTACAGCATTCGAATTTCAATATAAATTAGGTTAACAAAGCCAGAGCAGGAAGCAGGAAGCAGTATCAATGAACTGATACAAAATAGGGAAACTACTGTCATCAGGCCTCTTTCATTACCCACTTTTAAAAGCCATCTTCCTTTCAGAGTCAGAGGGGGGCCAAATCTTATGGCTTAGATAAGCTTCAATGGCAAGCTTAGAGGGATTCAGAGAAAAGAAGTCAATCACATTTGGACCCTATTTTACTCTAGCATTATTCACCTTTTAAAATACCCTTCTTTATATTGCAAGAATTTTGATTATGCCTTGAGATCTTTACTTCCTTATTTTATCTGCCCTGTGATTGGGGTCACTTCAGAAATTTATATGCTGTACATTTTCTCCACAGCTATACTTCACACAATCCTCAATGTTTGCAGCTCATTACTTCTACATCCATTGTTACATCCTCACCAAATATTTTTACCTCCTCTTCGTACACAATTTTCTTTGTGTATCTATATGTTTGCAGGGCTTTCCTCTCAGTCCAATCAATTTAAGAGTTCAGATTTCTGTGGGCCCACCTGGTGTCAAATCAATCTCTGACACCCCGACCCAACTGAGCAAAGGCAAGATAAAAAGCTAAAATATTTGCAATTACATTCATTATTATAAATTGTATTTATCTGATAATGTTCAAGTATTATTTTTCATGGATATTTCTGTTTTATAAAAAAAAAGTAGTAGCTGCCTATTTATAATTAATACATATGTAATTATTTTTATTTTTAAGATTTCATTTCAAAAAGATTTTTTCAAGATCTGTTGTTTCACAGGCTGTATGCCAGTATATTATCAATGGACTTTAGGTATTTGTCAACATGTCAACTCAGCATAATTACCTATCTATCTTTTGACTTCATATTTCAATATTCATATTTCATTCATTCAGCACAATTTTCTAAGGACCTAGAACTAAAACTAGCCAAAAACTGTACAGATATGATAATTGGGAATTAAAAACTGCTAATATTGATGATGTCATCATAATTCCATTTCTACTCTTGAGGTTTTTTTAGATACTAAAAGTTAGCCAAACACATAATTCATCAAATGTCTTTTTGACCATTACTGAAAACCAAACAGGAATGTTTAATTATGTGAGAAAACAAGCCAACAAAGAAAAAATGGAAATATACTAACATACACAAATACCACATGTAAAGAATAATGGAGGCAATTTGGCCCAAGATATCAAGTATAAATTTGCTAAATTATGCTCTTAGAATCTGCTAAATAGCTATCGGTGACAGAGTAAAATTAACTTACATCAATTACAACACTGCATAGTAATGTTCATAATCTTTATACAACAAATTTATACAAAACTAATAAATATAAACAAGAGATATTAGAAAAACTCTTTTTATGTGTGAATATTAAATCTAATAAAATTGCCATTTACCTCCCCCAAACTCTCCCAAAAAACCGTTGTGAATCTTATTGCTACAATAAGATCACTTTTCTTTCAATGACACAATAATTACAATTTTCTATTCCAGGGTAAATGTGAATTTAAATACTACAAAGAAAAGGATATCATAGATAAATATTTGTTCGAGCTTTTAATAATACTTCATATTAAATTTAAATATTTCTGCCAGTTTTCTCACCCTGAGTAAAACATCTTTGAAGAAATTACAATCTCGAGGAACAGAATAAAGCTCACCTTATTACAAAATTGTGACTGTCAATCTCTTTTCCACATTCACTATCTAGAAGAATGCCAGAATTTCCAACAACTGCACAGGTCTTAAACCTGCGATTTTTCATTGGTGAAACTTCAGGTAGGAGGCTGTGTAGATCATGAGAAATATTTAGTGTCCGGCGCCTGTCGAGCACATAGTGTATGACATCACCAGGCTTAAAACTGCTCTTGACCACTGAGACATCTCTTTCTGCATCTAAGAAACGAAGTATGTTCTTCCTATATTTGAAATACAAGCAAAGTTTTACATTAATGACAACATATCCAAGAACTGGTGACATTATTTACAAAGTAACATATGATGAAATACAAATTAGGAACCTACTAAACTTAAATTGTCAGGTGGTAATTAAGCCAACAAATTAAGCAGATTCTGCAGAAACCAGAATGTCTTTAAAAATCATTTGCAGAGTTTCTTAATGATTTTGTAAATAGATATAGTATATACACCTATTAGTGGAGTGAAAAAAGTACTTCATTTATCAAAATATTTAGAAAAATTAATTTATTAAACAAAATACAATTGCTGTGACTTGACTTTGCATAACTAGTTATTCTACTATCTTCAGTAAATTTTCTATAGTCATATATTTTAATATTGTCTGGTTAAGGTGAATTGGAATTTCTTGAAATTGTTTTAAGTTGTATCAAAGTTAACACTATTAAAGTGATCCAACTTCCCTATAAACATACACACGTTCATCCAAATAATTTGTATCTTATAATTATTTGAAGAAGAATTAACACTTTAGCACTAAATGTATATGAAATTTCTCCTCCAAGCTAAAGAGTCCAGGAGGTAAGATGGATACATCAGAGAGAAAAAATGAATAGTTAGAATATTGGATTGTGTATGGTAGAATTAACAAATTGCTCTTTGGTTTCATTTCTTTTCTTCTTCCTTCTATTATTTAAAATTTATAAGTTTTATTGGACACCTGGATGCTCAGCTAGAATATTTGCAAGTTTCCAAACCCAAGTACAGCTGGGTTTGGTCATGCCAGTTAATTTCCTTAAATGGGATGTAAGTGGATCATGTGATTTTATATGAGAAAGAAATAAACTTCAAACTTATATGGCCACTGTATTTAAAGGTTCTGTTTTCATGGAAATTTAGCCTATCTCATACCTAATAGATAAGTTGATAATAGATGTGAGATGCTACATATACCTAAAATATATGTATATGTTAAGTAGTTAGATGATGGAAAATAAGAATATAAACATAGCTGGCAGCAAAGCTGGTGACCCTTGGTATGATATAGAAAATCAGCTGCTGGATGTGGTGGCTCACACCTGTACTCCTAGCACTTTGGGAAGTCTAGGCAAGAGGGTCACTTGAGGTCAGGAGTCTGAGATAAGTCAGAGCAAAATAGAGAGACCCTGTCTCTACGAAAAATATAGAAAAATCAGTTGGGCAGAGTGTGCGCACCTGCAGTCTCAGCAACTCAGGAGACTGAGGTGGGAGGATTCCTTGAGCCCAGGAGTTTGAGATTGCAGTAAGCTATGATGTCGCCACAGCACTCTACCCTAGGTAACAGAGTAAGACTCAATCTCAAAAACAAACAAACAAATAAATAAGCAAATAAATAAAAATTAAATGAAATTAAAAAGAAAAGCACCTGATAAAGCTATTGTTTTCAATAATTTGGAAGTTGTGCTTATATCTAATAAATATTTTGCTTTTGGTGGAATGGTTAAAAAGTGTATGTTGGTTTAAGTTGGCCTCTCCTTTTATCAAGGTACTAAAAGAGATGAACTCAGGCATGAAATAGCCAACATGCAAGCCAAGATGGAAAGGAATACATCTCTGGCAATAACCTATAATCTAAACTGAGAGTCCAGTGATTGGCACTTCTTGAATATTTCTGTACCCCAACTAACAAAATATAGAGCTAAAAATTGGAGCCACACCAGCAGCAAGAGGGATATTGCCTGTCCACATAAGTCTGTAGATTCAGAGGACTTCACAGTGGCTGGCATTAAATTGAGGGAAGGGAAGGGTGGATCAGAATAATTAGAAGAGAGTCAGAACTCTTAAGAACTGTGTTCAGAAGAAATCTTTGGATGTGGTTATTTATGCCTGCCACTAACTACAAGGAAATAGCCCAGGAGTCTAGTTAGTTTTTGAGGGAATTATATTGCCAAAGAAATTATGAACCCAGCCTACAAAAAGTCTAAAATTGTTTTATCCTCAGGCTACCAAACATATACAAGCAAAAAGCAATCAGAAAAGGCTCTACAACTAGGCTAGAAATTGGATATTATTTACTAAAGTGTTCTTACTTTAAGTTTGCATTTTCAAAGCAATAAAAGCAATGCCATTTTATTATTATAACATTTAATCTATGACAGACTTATTTTTATGCTAGTGCTATTATTGTTTAAGCTCCATCATAATTGGTAAATTTTATTACTGAGGACAAAACCTGACCTCTTCCCTTGACTCTCTCAAAAGAGTAATTCTCTAACCCAGACTTAAAAGCAGAAGCATAGTTAGCAAGGAGGGATGGAAAGTAACTCACTAGTATCTTTCCTTTTTTTTTTCTTTTACTTAATTTTGGTTTGCTCTAAATAACTTCCAGTTTATTGTGTGATCTACCTAGAAAACCAAGTGATTGAAAACTGTGTTTTATCAGATTTCATACACAGGAGATATGTCCATTGGATCTCTGAAAAATAATATTTTCTGAATTTTTTCTCAAATATTCTGAATATCAGGGTTCATATAGGGTGGAATTTGTACAGGAAACTGTAAAAATACCCTACAAATGAAATAAAAATAATTGATAGAAACACTGCTAGACACCATAGCAATTTATCTTAACAAATTACAGGTTATATAAGAAGAGAATTATAGTTGAAATCAGCAACTGTAGGGCTTATGAATTACAGAAAATGGAAAAGTATTTAATTATGTCAAGCACATAGTGATTCTTCACTAACATTAACAACTAGCACTAAAAGTGGCAATACACAAAAACTTTTGGACATACTTATTAACTACCACTTACTTGTCTAGGAAAATTTAAGTAATATATGACACCTGAATTTCAACAAAAATTCTCACTTCCTGTGAAGATGACAAGACTGGCTTTAAGACAGTGACTGCACGGATGTGGTTAAACCATCAAACTAGATGGTGTACTATTTTTCTTTGAATATGATTTAAAGGGGTTGCAATAAATGTATCTGAAGATATGTATTCAGAAGTAGTGGTATGCTTGCATGCTTGAAGTGAGTAGATTAGAGGTCCAGATTTTAAAGAAGGTTCTATAGCTTGACAATCCAAAAGGGAAAATCCCTTTTACCTGGTTCAAAAAGCTAACACTTACATGCTTGTCAACTAATAGCAAGAGGGACTTTCCAATGACAGCAACTTTTCTGTGTTATAGAAAGTCAGCAGCAAAAATACTATAAAACATGTCTTTTAGATTCCTGGATATAATTAGAAATCTTTATTTTATTCACTCTTCAGGGAAAATAATATAAAAAAAGAGGATTATAAGAGTTCAGCAAAGTTTTTAAAAGACATCATATTATTTAACTCTTGGAAGAAAATAGTGCTTAATGAGATAAAAAATTATTAGGTGCAGACAATAATTGTTATGATTTCTTCCAATGTTAGATTATAGGTTCAGCAGTAGTTTATTTTATTAAATGAAAACAGTAAAATTACTTTCAAAACAAAAAAAGTACCAACTCACATAAACTAATTAATATATAAAACATAAAATTTTCTTAGGCAAAATTCAGAACAATTGTTAGTGTAGAATCTGCTCTTTAAAACTGAAAAAGGAAAAAGAGAAATTTTGAGTGACTCCAGTATGTTTTCTTTTCTTATATTTACTTTTACTTTCTATTTTATAGGAACTCAAAACATAGGAAATTATCTGAGATAAGATTCCTGGTGTAGGATGTAAGAAAGACTAAAAATAATTAGTGTGAGTGAATAATATTGTGATTTAAGTGCTAAATAGTTTTTGGAAACAGTATCAGAATGTTTGATTTTTCTCCCTCCCTCTAGCAGGCTGAAAATATTTTTTAGATTATAGATTTAATGAACTACAAATAACTGTGGAATTGCTAAGTCCAGTTGTTGTTCAGACTAAACATGTAAAAAAATTCAAGCTAGTACTCAAATATAACTAGCTAAATGTCATGGGAAGCATAAAAATTCATATATGCATTGAACTGAAACAACACTTTATCAACAAAGAGAATATATATGCTTTTGCTCAGAGCTCAGAAGATAACTGATATGAATTTAATTTTGTTTCACCTATTAATTTGCCTCATAAATGAGAGAGACAGAAAGAAAACTCAGCCTAACATTTAGGCTCTAAAGAAACATGAATCAACAAAAGCTAATATTTAATATGCAGACTCTACCAGCACAAATTTTCCTTATATGTGGTCAATTTATCACCAGATATTCAGAGAAGTATTGTTGTGTTTTCTGTACATGACTTAGAACAAATAAAGGACCCTTCAGAGGTCTTTTTGTGATCATAATGCAACTTTTGAAACCTCATTAGATAAGCAAGCACCTAAATTCAGCAACTGTTTTAATGTTAAAGATAACTGAAAGAATCTCAAAATATGTTTCACTTTTAGTGAGACTAAAAGTCTTAGTCATAAAAACTATTTTTGTTAGGCAATATTGGCTTAAACTGAAAGGTTGGTTTAGACAGTTAAACTGACAAAAATCGACTCGATACAGAAACTTTTAACTGACTTTTCAACTAGAACTTCCGTTTTAACACCACCCATTACTTAAAATAGCAAGTGCAGAGTCCCAGAGAATTAATTTACTAAACTTTGTTATCACTTGTGAAATGTCAGCAATAGCTAAGCTATCATCAGGTGCCACTCTTTTTTTTCTGTAGGTTTTTTTTTTTTTTTTGTATCAACAAACATACATGCCTCAACTAAAATTGAATGTAAATGACACTGTAACTCTATCAGAAAGTACTGTGTAACAAATCTTAGTGTTGGAATGTATCATAAGTTCAGAAGCAAATTAGGTTATGATACATATAATAGGAGTCAGTTTTTGCAAACTTTAAACAATGATTCCAGACTGCTACTCCAAAAACAAAACAAAAGAAAACAAAAACCTCTGTATCAGTTCAACTGGTACTGACATAATTCAATAAAAGGAAAAACAAAGTTAAGAAATGCTAAATGCTTCAATAAGCCTATAAAAAGCAGAGAGGACCAAGCATGATGTCTCATGCCTGTAATCCCAACACTTTGGGAGACAGAGGTGGAAGGATCAGTTGAAGCCAGGAATTGGAGACCAGCTGGGCAACATAGTGATACTCCACCCCACCCACCCCATTTCTAAAAAAAGTTCTCCTTTGTAAAATTAGCTGGGTGTGGTGGTCCACCAGTTATAGTCCTAGCTACCCTTATTTCATTCTGGGCAGCAAAGCTAGACCCTGCCTCTAACAACAACAACAACAACAACAACAACAAAGCATAGAGAACAAACAACTTTTTGTCTGAAAAGATTATTTCTGCAAGGCAACTTGCCTCAAAGCTCTAAAAAAAAACAAATACTGTAGCTCGTTTAGGACTTCTGAACTTAGAGTCCTAGCTGTTATAGAAACAATATTTTAGTATCAAAATAAAAAATCCTAAACAACTACAACTAAATGAAAAGGCATCATTGTCCCACAATACTTACAAATATTTTTTTTTCTTTAATTTACACCTTAGACTGCCATTTGATAGCTGGCCTAGAATTTGGTAATATTAGGTGAATAATATCTTATGTTTTGTTATTTTAGAGCAAAATAAAATCATGCACCCCATAGGTATACATTTGATAGTACATATATTGAGTATTAAAATATACTTTGTAACTTGATTTCCTCTATAAAGAAAAAAGAATACTCTTCCAAGAAATTTGTTTTGTAATAAGACTCTGGTTCCATGGTCAGATAGTTGTGGATTTGAATCTTGACTCTGTCACTAATAAGCTTTGTGACCCAAGATTAGCTCTACTGGTCACTTACTGATCAAAATAAGTAGAAAATGGTGTAAAAATTGTATATGGACATTTTCCTAAAGTAGATCTATGAATGAAATAGCAAATTCTTTTTGAAAGTTAAGCATATATGAATTTGAAATTATGTTTAGTTAACCTGCAGGACTTGTCTGTTTAAAAACTTTGGTATATAATATAATGATACTGAAAGTTGAAAATATTTTTCCTAAGCTTGATGTGCTTAAGCCGTTCCAATGAGTATTTGTATATTTCTATACATCTATACTTGGTATTTGTAGTTCTCTGAGTTTCTAGTCAACATAAGAAAAAAAATAGGAAAAAAAGAAAGAAAAAACAACTCAAGTATGGAAAAACATGTCAAGTTATAAGCGTTGGATGGGACCAAATAATCTCTCAGTACAATGTTAGAAGATTTATTCAAAACATCTGATAAATCTTAAGTGTGTCATTTCTTAGCTTACAATAATAGAGCACAAACTATTTCCAATAAAAGCAATGTCTTAAACTAAGATAATTATTTTAATTGCAAAGTTAGCTGGAGAATGTCCAACTCCCTAAATCTTGATGAATTTTCAAAATACAATGAAATAATATAATATATGGAACCATTTCTCTAGATAACTCCACAGAGGTACAGGTGTTTAGTGACTATATATGAATCTATTCTTTGTATATTTATGAAAGTAACAGAAGGTACATGGGGCTGAAGGAATTAGTAATAAGAAAGAAAATCATGTCTACAAATTTGAAAAAAATGTATCTTCAGTAACTATTTCACATTTTAATGTAAATAGATAATTTATTAAGAATATCATAAGACCATTTGAAGTCTAATGATATTTTAATATAAGAAAGATTTATAAATGTAGTTCAATCATTTAAGATAAAACATGACTAGTTGTAATATCTTAATCAAAACTTTAAAGTAGAATTTTGAAAACACTTTCAAAATAAACCCCCACCCACTCACAGACACAAAGTGATATGATACTTCTTAAATGCTAGAGCGATACGGAAGTAACAAAGAAAAATAATCATCCAAAATATTGCATGATTGGTTTTCAGTATGACTTTTAAGAAACATATTTTCAAAAGCTAAGCCAACAATTAGACATTTTCATATTCTAAAATTTTTTACAGGGGTCAAACTGATTAAAACTAGTCATTTCTGCTATTAGGCAATTATAATTTTTATGAACTACACATTGTACAATAATGGTTTTACAAATTATTCTTTTCTTGCAAGAAAGCGACAACTTTGTATGTATTATTCAATATTTGTTCACTGTTTTATTGCTTACTTGTTTATATCTTAAGGAGAACTGTATAAAAATAGTACTAACATTTCATTCATATTATCAGCTCTTCATATTATCAGCTCTTATAATTGAAAATAGACTACCCTTAAAGATGTGAATGCAACCTTTATTAATTTGCAAAGCTGCAATAATGAAATTTTTGGATCAATTCAGATATTTATCAACCTTAGTTTTAAAATCTTAATGCCAAAATGTTTATCTGTAGCCTCATGCACACCTGCAGTATTCAATTTTGTACAGATATTAGGAAAGCATATCCAGATATATTAATTAAACTAGTGTCAATTACCTATTTAATTTGCTTATTAGATTTTTTCCTGACATATTACTTAGCATAGCTACATATATTAATGAAACTACTAAAATATCTCACCTTACTTTCATCACTTTACCTGATCTATATAGTCTTACCTAACTGTCTCCCTTCCTACTAAACCGTCCAACTTGAAAGTTCTCTGTCTGCTTACAGAACAATCTTTGCTTTTCAATCACCTATGTTTCTCTCTTTCCAATCTAACTCCAAGGAATATGAACCCTTACTCTGTTCTACTCTAAGCTATATGTGTGTTTATGACTCCATATTGTCACACATCCTGTAGCGTTTTCCTCATAATTATCTCATCTCTAAATTCAAATTTGGGGCTGGGGACAGAAGACAGAGATATCATGAGGAAAGGGTATACAAATTTTTACACTCCAGGTGTAAAGATGTCAAACAGGAGAGATCATGGCTGTGTCAGCTTCAACCAACTTATTCTCAGCAGGAATACAGATTCAGAGTTGTCACTCTTAACAATTTCTCAAGAGTTTATGAAAATCTGTACTTTTTATATAAAGAATCTCTTGATTTTCAATATTGGTTTTAAGGTTTTTTTTCTCTATCTAGTTGAGATACATCTTTCTTGCTGGCCATATTCTACCCAAAAGACACCAGTTGATGAACTCTGTCATTAGATTCTCTTTATATTCTCATTCTTGTACTAGGCTCACAAATATAGAGCCCTATACTAAAGTAAAAGCAAACAAACATACACCACTTGACATTGCCATGATTTGATTCCTGTTTATCTTTCCATTCACTTCCAACTTTTTAAAAACAAGTAGTCTAACCATGCCTGCATTTCTCTGAGACTGTCTCTTTTAAATTTCTAGACATTCTTTCAAGTAAATTTCAATATATAGTCAGTGCCTGTGCTGAAATGCATTCTATGAATTGTCATGTATACCCTAAAGATGAGTGCAATAGACTCTTCCTTCACATTGCTTATGATCTATATTATACGTAAGTACCAGTATAATTCAAAAAGTGAGTAGGTAGAAACCTGCACAAATTAATCACCCTTTTATCTCTTAATCACTAAGCTACACTTAAAAAATTTTCCTGTTAATATCAGTCATTGAATAGTTAGTATTTTGCCAATACTAGAAAAATACAATGATTGTACTATGTAAAGTGATGTATTCTCTCAAACTTTTTTAAAGAGTTCTGATTTACTGAAAACAATCTAATTCAAACATACCAACCAACAACATAGTAATGTAAAGTAAATATTGAGAAAAATAAAATCTATTTGTTTTTCTCCGTAATTAGGAAGATATGACCTTATGTTTCTTATTGGCAATAGGATTATAATATTGAAGAAAATGACAAAACATATACGCGTTGAGTTACATTACAAGAGTTTGTTTCAGCTAAAATGCTTACTCTTACAAATAAGCCAATAATCTAGAAAGTTTATTTTCTGGTTTTTATCCATTCTTTTTACATGAGCTCACGTAGACATACTAATTCACGGAGTAAGACAAATTTATTTACAATTGTCAGCAAAATAGGAGTTGAATAGGCTCTATTTTCATCTAATTGAGGAAATACAAGATCAGAATGAAGATTCAATACAGAAAAAGTTAAAGATAATTCTCAAAATATATGTCCATCCTGAGTAATTGAATAAAGTATGTTAAATATCGGTACTCTGTTGAATATTTTATTCCATTAATATAAAGACACTGTATTCAACATTCACATATTCATCCTTAAATTTCTGACTGTAAAATGATTTGAGTTTTATGGTTTCACATTCTTCATTGAGTAACATTAAATAGACCTGGTTCACTCTTTCATTAAAGCATTCATACTTATAAATCAAGTGTTCAATGTAAGTTTGCCAAGCCCAACACATTTAAGAACATGATGTGAAATTTATTGTGCCATATTAAAGAAACTCACCTTATCTCCAGGACCAAAGAGGAATTAATTTTCCAACCTTCTACATTATGCTGGAAGATTGAAGAGCCAGCCTTTCGAATGATTTTATCAGAACTATTGACAAGTGATCGACTCAAACACAATTCACCATCTCTGAAACAAAACAAAAATGCCAGCTTTGTGAAAGTAAGAAGCATTTGTCTAAGTAGCACAATACATAGTTTAATTTACATTACTGGCAAAAAAATTATAGATACAGTTTTTTTCTACAAGTCAGAAGGAGATGTATAAGCATAATGAAAGGTGTTAGAGGGATTAAATGAATATAACTCTATCAGGACAAGGATCTACTCTTACACTTTTTGAAATGAAACTATTTCCACAGTAAGAAGTATGTAAAAAAATCTCATCAAATCTAAAAATAAAAAATAGAATTGCCATGTAATTTGGCAGTCTCACTTCTGGGTATATACTCAAAGGAATTGAAATTGGTGTATCTAAGAGATGTCTGCACACCCATGTACATTGCAGCATTATTCACAACAGTCAAAATATGGAAACAACCTAAGTGCCCATCATGCAATAAATGGATTACAAATGTGGGAGATATACACCCTGGAATAATATTCATTCTAAAAACACAGGAAATGGATAAACCTAGAGGACATTATTTTAAGTGAAATAAGCCAGGCACAGAAAGACAAATACCACATGTTCTTACTTATATGTGGATTCTGAAACAAAGTCGTGGAATTAGAGAGTAGAAAGGTGGTTACCAGAGACTGAGTAGAGAAAGGGGAGAAGTTGGTCAACAGGTACAAAGTTTCAGTTAAAAGGAGTAAGTACTGGTGTTCTTTTCATAGCACACTGGCTATAGTTAATAATAATGGATTTATGTTTCAGAATAGCTGAAAGAAAAGATTTTAAATGTTTTCACCACAAAGAAATGATAAATATTTGAGGTGATGGATATATTAACTAGCCTAATTTGACCTTTGCACAATGTATACATGCATGGAAACCTTACATTGTACCCCATAAATATATACAATTATTATTTGTCAATTAAAGATAAAATAAAGCGTAAAGCTCTGTTCTCCACTACCCTCTCACTGACTGTTTAAACAATAGAGACATTATCTGGTCAATTCTCTGCATCTACAGAATTGTGATTCCTTAGATTGTAATTTCATTTTTACAGAAGGCATATATGTGTAAAGGAAGGAGCTTTTGTTTTGAAGAAAGAAGAGCTTGGGATAGCAGGTGATCTGTTCTGGGCATGTTTGTGATTCTATGGCTTGCCAGCCTTGTGTTCTTAAACAATATTCTCTTTCTAGGCCACACCAGCCTTACTTTATCATGAAAACTACAACAACAGCTAATATGCAATGACTTTGTGAGGTTTAATTGGGACTCTGTATGTGAAAGTAGTTTATAAAGCATTATTGAAGTGCCAATTTTAAAAATTGCATTGCTCTTAAAAACGTGTCAACCATGAGGTACTTCCCTAACAGTTGTTGTGGGTAGACAGAGATTGTAGTAGGGAGAAAACTCATTCAGTAGCCATTATTACTACTATTTTCTATTACATCAAAACAATAAATAAATAAACTACCCCTCTCCAACAAATAATGTTAAGCTAGTATATAATGTAGCATGGTAGCAGAAAGGGGGCTGGTGGAGGTGATGATGGTGACAGATATCTATAATAGCATTTATGCCATTAGGACATTTATAGTTGAACCAATTCTTTATTCAATAGAATATTTTTTTATGCTTCATATATGCAAATTCAGACTCAGAGAATTGAAAAGCCACTTCTTATGGCATACCACCGAAGATCATAGCCCTCTCAATATGTACATTTATTTCTTTACTTCCCATCTTTTAATTTTTAGCACATCAGAAACAGTTCAAAAGCAACATGACTATTTGCTCAATAATAAAGTCTAAATCTGTGTTTATTATGTAGGCAACCCTCTCCTACTATCAATGGAAACACTGCCTGTGTAACAGCTGTTGGATAAATTCTGTAATTGAAGGCTTATAGTTTGGTATTCTGGTTTGAATTCTTTTTTAAACTTGTAGTTTAAATTTGAAGCAGCTCAAAGCATCATGTGCCACTATGCTCTGTGAAGTTTAGAACCATAATATTTTAAACTATGCTACTGATGACAATGATACCTTTGCATGCCTATGCATGCCTAATAATAATTTTACAGAGGTCATTTAGGATGTTAGAAAACATGGAGTGAACTTTACTACTCAGCAACCCAGAAGTTAATTATCATATTATATGTCTAATGATAATAACTACATGTGAATGAAAACATGGATATATAAGAGGTTAACCTTCACACTTTTGGAGATATGACTTCATGAGTACAGGCACAAACTATCACTATTTTAAAGGTGAGGGAGGATCTTTCCAATCTTCATCCTGTTAATAACTAGGCTATTAATATATTTTCCTAACCACACATTGCTATGATAATAATTATTTTCACCACCAATAAACTTTCATAGGGGAAGTAGAAATATGCATGAGCTTGCATTTTGAAAAATCTATGGAATGTTGCTTCATTGAAAAGTGGATACAGATACACTTTTATATGGCAGAATGATTGCTACGATATACTTAAGTGTATGGATCCTTTTCAGAATCTTCAAGATATTTGAAAAAGTAGTTTAAATCAGTTTCATGTGAATAACATGCTATAGCATGTTACTCTCCTGCTTGACTTGTTTTATTCAACTAGTGATATGCCAAATTCAATACTTTTATCACTGGAAAGAGCTTCGAATGGAAGCAGCTACAACTAGTTACACTTCTTATAGTTCATAGAATTCATGTGAGAAGACCAGGCTTAGTGAAATAAAGCTCTAGAGTAAATTTCTTTGTATAAAGGTAAGTGGGTCCCAAGGGATTTTTCACTTGTGATGTTGGTAGCAGTTCTGTCTTGGAAAAGGCTTTTCCTTCCCATGAATGTAAGACATGAAGGATGTTGCCACCCTCTACTTATCTCTCATTCCAGATCAGACATGACTTTTGAATAGCTTCACTGAAAATATTTCTTGCATAAGGTTACCTATAAGAAAATTCAATATACACTTTTATAAGGAAAATAACAGAACACATCAAAAAATCAATCAGCATAAAGCAATATAAAGTATTATAATTATAAAGTATTCCTGCTTATTGGAGCTAAAAAACTCACAAAAAGTGATCATCTATGGAATATCAATAGCAATAATCATTTGCTATGTTATCAGTATCTACAAATATTTTTCTCTTTGAAATATGAGTCTCCAGGCTTCATCATAATTTATTCTATTCTGCAGTACATAACAAATATGATTAGCTTCAGTTTATGAAATTAGGTGCCCAAAGCCTTTCATTCAATCCCACTGAAATTCTTCATGACTTGGCTTTGGAATGAATTTGATCCCTTTGGACTAGGTTAAACTTCATCCTTAATATAAAATTTTAAAAGTAATTTAAATGAGAAGATTTTCCATCATACTAAACCTGAACACAAAGGGAGAAGCCAATTTTGTGTTTTCATTACCTGAGCACCAAACAACTAAAAATAAAGATGAGCTATTCTAACTTATTGCTTATGGGTTTTGGTAGAATTGCAAATGTATCATGTGAAGTAAAATGCAAATTCTGGATTTTTCATTTACAGGATGTGTTCTACTCTAGAACAAACTGGAACTAACTTCACTGACAATGGTAATAATCTAAGTAGGAGTGCTTATCTCCACTGTCAATCTTATAACAGATTTCAGAACTAATATTGTTGATCATTTAGTAAAACAACCTGAAGTATATAGTCAAATTATAAGGAAGATATTTGGATGATAATAAAAGTAAGTTATAAAATAAAAGTCACTTGTGGTAAACCAGAAAAATAGTGTGTACCAAGTTTTAAGGAATAATATTTAAAATAAATATCTGTAGGATGTTAAAGTTTATGCTACACTTTCAAATATATTACCTCATTAAATGAGCATACCCACATATTTTCTCTATGGGAATCATAAATTAATGTATTTCCAATTATACCCAAAAGAGCACACACAGTCATTTAAATCATAGGCCAATCGTAAGGACTATTAGAAAAAAAAAGTATATTAGAAAAAAAAGAGTAAAGAATAGATCACTTAATACTTTCAATACCCTTTGATTTAAACTTAATATTAACTGTCACTATAAAAGTCAGTTTTTGTGGACCGAAATATCAATTTTAGGTGTCCAATAACTATTACTTGACCCATTCTGGAATAATTCCTTATTTTTAAAATGCTGGTGTTATTCCTCTAGAAATATGATAACGTGGATGGTTGGTGGGAAAGCCGTGGTCATTCTCTCTTTTTCTGTCTGCATAGATTGACTGCTCAATATTGTAGTATACAAGAAGAGCAACGCTGAACTAACTCTTCATGGGACATCCAGCAGGGAGTAACTGGTAGAATAAATAAACTGCCTGCCTATTGAAAAAAACAAAACAAAACAAAACAAAACAAAACAAAACGGTAGCAGGAATGCCAAGCAGGAATCTAGGTCGATGTTGTAAGAGTCAAGGACGATGGAAGACCCTTCACTGGACACTGCTGCCCGCCCGCAAGGCCCGCAGTGCCCTCCCAAGGCCAGAGCCTACTCGTGTGGCCTCGCTTTGGAACTCTGGCCTCCGCGCTGAGGCTGCGACCCTCCACTCCAGTTGACTCATCTCCAAACCGGCCTCTCCACATAGCTCGAGTGCACGAGAGTCATGGAGATGACGAGATAGTTTGATGAGTCAACTCCTCCACCAGATACGCTGTTTGGGAGTTGAAACAAAAGCCACGAGCCTGCATCACGAGCTTTTCCACTGAACGTGTCATCCTGGGGGGCGGGGGGGGACAAGAGCGCCAGCGGGGACCGGCTGTCCTCGCACTGCTCCCGGCAGCGCCAACTCGGGGGTCCCGCTCTCTGGAAGAGCGGGTGGCGGCGCGGCAGCCAGGGCTCGGCGGGGTACCCGGTGTGAGCCCAACGTGGGCTCTCTGCGTCGTCCTAAGGGACCGCGACTGCGGGTTTTAATTAAGGAGGAGGAGCCAGTTGCCTGCCACACAGTGCAAACGGCTGGGGGCGCGGAACGAAGGCTCCCCCTGTCTTCCCACTCACTCATTCTCCCACCCTCGCCGCCAGCTCTCTGGGAGCAGGGGATGGACGCGGTGCGCACCTCCCTTCCTGTTTGGATAACTCGAGCGCCCGCCCCACGCCTCCTCAGATACACGGGCAAGAAACCGTTTCTCAGCTTGAAAAGGGTGCGGGCGCGTGCCTCGCCCGGCCAGCCCCGCCGCCCCGCCGCCGCCTGCCTCCTCTTCCTCCTCCGCGCCCGGGCTGCACCCGCCAGGCGGCGACATCCAGAAAAGGGGCCCCCAGCAGAAGCGTTGTCCGCGAAACGAGGAGTGTCCCGGGTCTACTACTCCCACAGGGAGTCGGGGTGCACTCCTCCTTCCCGCTCGCGCTTCAGGGGGTGCTCGGAGAGGACGCAGCCTCGGGCGCCCCCTTCTCCTCGCGCGCCCCGCCCACTCCGGCTCTCCGGGGGCGCGAACCCGCGGAGTACTGGAGGGGCTTGACAGCTTTGTCTTGGCTCAGGCTTCTCCTCGCAGCCCACCGCTCCGGAGGGAACAAAGAGCCTCGACCCTCGCGCCCCAGCCGTCGCCTCTCACCGGAGCCCCAGGCGCGCGTTCCTCGCCTTCCCAAAGACCCCTTTGTCTGCCAGGCGAGCACAGGTCTGCCAGGGATGCCCCCGCCGCCGCCCCCCCCCCCAGGTCCTCCTTTTCCGTCTCTTAAACTAGACTGGATTTTCGAGCCACACATTGTCGTGTAAAGGACCTCGTGCAGTTCTTCCTGTTGTTTGCAGAATACACCGTGTACGGATTTGTTGGTGCATTACGACCACCCAGCCCATTCCTTATTAGCTTTTTCATTTCTCTTCCACTCCCTTTTGACTGTACTACTGTTATCCTGGTTTTCTACAGAATAGGGAATCCTTCTTGAAGGGTAAAGCTACATCATGCTCACTTAAATAAATGCTCATTGTTTAGCAAGGAGCAGAAATATCAAGAAACAGTGTATGAAGTTTAAGAGCGTGCGTGCGTTTTAGCAGTCCTACGCCCCCTCCCACGCGCGCACACACACACACACACACACACACACACACACACACACAAAATGGCAAGGATTCTCTCTTCGTTTTAATAAATGTCAGAGAAAAAAAAAAGAAAGAAAGAAGGAAAAACAGGCGAGAGATCTCTGCCAGTGTGCAGTTTCCGATAGCGGACGCCTCCGGACGAAGGAGGATTTCGGAAACAAGACTTTGAACACAGTTGACAACCAGGTTCACATCCTCAGAAAAAGCTTCCAAGCTATACATCCGCAACACAAAGTTGCACCACCTCCTGGGCAAACTTCAAAGGCATAGAGGCCAGGGGGAGGGTGGAAGGAAGTGTGATATTTAGAGAACTTAATGGGGCGGGAGAGAGTCTGAACTCATCTAGACAAAGTAAAGAACTAGAAATATAGTCTGGTTAAAGCTACCGTACCCAGTTTCTTTCTAAAACTGTAACCATGACGCCCATGCGTTTTGCCGGTGGAAGAACAAATAAGGAAGTATGCTTGGTGGGGCTGGAGTTTCTAATTCAAATTATGATACACAGATCTACCCAACACCAAAAGAAAAAAAGAGAGAGAGAGAGAGAGAGAAAAGTAGAGAAAGAGAGAAGACCTATTTTCTGTTTTCTGAGCTTTAACTTCAGCCTTTCAAGAAACCAGCTTTCTCTGGTGCCTCTGTAGAGTGACAGAGAGAAGGAAGGGCAACCGTTTGATGTATAAAGACGTCTCCCTTTTGAGTTCTGCACACAGATTAAAAGGACAAGGGCACACATTCTTTGTTGACACTTATGCAGTGACTTCTCCTTTGGCGTGCGAGCACCCGGTGCCAGCACAACTGTCACCACCACCGCACAGAGCAAGTTGAACTCGTACGGAAACAGCTCAGAGAAGCGCATACACCTCAGCCACAGCCTTTGTTATTTAATTCATGACACTTAACCGCACGCAAGCTCTAAGGAACACGCATACTATCCCAACCATCACTCTACTGTCTATATTCACATTTCATTTATGGCTTGACTTTTTGTCATATCCTGAAAGGAAGCTTTGCATTTACCCGATGAGTTGCGTCTCCTGGTGCTCCTCAGTTCTCGCTATTTCTTTTGTCTTATAAAAGATGAGGAGCAGACTTATCGTGCAGATCGTCCACCTCTTCCTAATGGAGCGCATCTTGGGTGCCGGGGAAAGTCCTGGTTGCCCCAGTTCCCGCACCTTCTCCTGATGTAAAGGCTCCGTTTTGAGGCAATAGTCCAAGGGGGGAGAAATCTGTAAAAGGCGAGAAGAGCGTAGAGCCGGGATGGCAGGATCAGGTCGCTAGGGTCCTCTCTGGCCGAGCTCCCTCTGGTCCTCGAGCCCTGCCCAGCGCCCTGCCGCTTCGTTCGCGCCAGCCCTGCCCGGGTCGCTCAGCGCCGCCTCCCAGGGGCTCAGGTTTCTTTTCAGATGAGACACCTTGTGTACTGGAGGTAGCGGCCGCTTCTGCAGCTGGGTTCGGGGGCGTCACTGGCCCTTCCCTCTTGCTAGCAGGGAAATGATGAGCAAAACTAGCCAATCGTAGGGCTGAGGGGGCGGAGGCTGCTGTCGCCTTGCGTTGCTGGCGGCTGCTTGGAGAGTAACGTCCTGGTCTCTGCCTGCACCGGGCTGGGAGAGGAAGCTCACGGTGGAACGCGCCCGCGAGCTCGCGCACATACACACACACACACACACACACATATGCACACACAGACACACACACACTCTCTCCCGGGACACCAAAGCGTCAGCTCTCTGGACCTAAGAGTGCCAAGATAGTCTTTCCGCACCAGTGGGGAGAGGGCACCTCATCTGGGGACAGATCAGACACGCGTGCCGCCCAAGGAATGCTTTGGATGGAGCTCGGGGTGGTTTGCAAGAGGGGTAGGTTCTTCCAAGCACCTTTGCTACACATACACACTCGCACTCACAAATGCACGCTCTCCGAAGTAGAATGAAACGGGGGAGGGAGAGGGAAGGAAGAGGACGTTTGTTATTCTGGGCACAGTTCAATCCGGAAAGTACAAAAAAGACACATGAACTGATTAGCCGATCACTCACTCCGAGTAGGTGGTGGATGACAACCCCAGCTCAGCATCCTGCGGGAAACAAGAGGACAGAGGTGTCATTAGGAACTTTATGGATATTCATGTTCCTCTCTTGCATTGTCATTTGGAAACTCCTCACGCAGAAGTCAAGGAAACTCCAGTCCCACTTAAACTTCACTGCGGAGAAATAGGATTTTGAGAAAAAGCAGCTACCAAAGACTTCTTTTTTAAACGCAAGTACACCCCCATACACATTGACAGGCCAGGAAGGAGTGAAGGAAGGAAAAAACGTAGGAAGGAGGGAAGAAAGGAGGAAGGGAGAGAGGGAAGGAGGAAAGGATGGATGGAAGGAAGGAAGGGAGGACAAGTGAGCCCCTTTCCAAAAGTTTCAGTGATATGTATTTAGCCTCTCAACGATACTATTTCACCTTTTCTTTCCTCCTACCATTTTCCTTACTTCTATTGTATTGTGTGACGGGAGCACTTTCGGATTTTTGTGTCCAGCCTTCAAGTCTGAGTACTTCTCCACTGTCCTTTAGTTCTTCTTGTCCTGACTGGGGAGAGTTGCTTGCTGCTCTGATCATACTACGCCTTGATTCTGCTCTTTGCGGTGTGCTGCTGGGTCAGTGAGAACCCCTTGTGTAAGACAGTGCTTGGAATCAAAGATTTCCCCCATCTACAAGCGCGGCTCCCAAGGTCCCAGACCACTCCAGAGTTCCTCCTTCCTTCAGGTTGAGCCATTTGCTGGTCATCCCCATTCTGCCTCTGGGGTTTACATTCCCCAGGCTCAGAAATCCTCCTCCACCACCAACCCTCCTCCGGCCCTCGGGAAAGAAGAGGGAAGTTGTGAATTACTAGTCCCCTGACAGCTGAAAACAATGACAACAGTCAGCACCTTTGCTTATAAACCCTAAGTTCCCAGGAGTGCTCACCATTCTTGCCCTAGAGTTTAGGAAGTTAAGAACCTCTGAGATCTTGAGCTTAGTCTTCACAGAGGAGCAGATGGGGTTGGGCCTAAAATGCTCTAAGGAGCAAGTAATTATGAGCCTTTATTGACACTACAAGTGGCCCACGGGGAGCCTTTCCAGTTTATTGATGTCTAGGCAAATCCTTCTTGCATTAATGCATTTCTGTTACACTGACTTCTCAACCAGCAGGAACTGCAAGAATAAAACAGCTTTTTATTTAAGTTAAAAGGGAGCTAAGGGGGTGAGGGGGTGAGTCATGCATGATTAGGACCCTAAATTCTCTAGGTTAAATTTTTATTTTTAAACACTAAACATATAATTTGTATATATCCCCTCTTTGACAGGAATGGAGTAATATGCATTACTTAATTAAATTTATTCAATATTTCTTGAGCAATTACCATAGGCCAGGCAATGTGTGAGGACACTGGAACACAGTGATCAATAAAATATAGAAACTACTCAGACAGGAAGCTCATTCACTCAGAAGGGGACAGCTTTTAACACATTGACTGCCACACCAGGAAAAAAAAGTTTTCCTAGGGGCCGTGGTGTTTTATTAAGAAAGTATAATAAAAGCTTCAAAAACAAAATGATCCTTTCTAATTTAATGAAAAATTTGTTATTTTTTATTGCTTTCTGTGCATGACTTATAGGAGCAGGCAGCTGGAGCAGGGTGACAGTAGGTGAGGGAGACATGCCAATTGAGTGAGTTATATACTTCATAAGGCCTCAGGCTCAAAACTAGTGTGAGTTAAATACAACTTACATGGCAGTTAATGTGTTAAAATAATAATTTGCAGTATGGCTCCACGAACCAGAAACATTACTTGAAATATATATGGTATCTGAATAAGCTCCTGGGTTGAACCAGATGGGATGTTTAAGTCTTTAGGAGCAGGGAAGGTGAGTTTACTAGTGGAGGGGACATGGAGCCTAGGGTTTTAAAGGTGACTAAGCAGAAAGCTTAACAGAGGGAAAGTAGAACATTAGAAGTAGAAGAAAGACTACATGCCACTCCAGAGAGGAATAAAACACTGGTGCTTTAGGGAACTTTGAAGCAGTTCAATATTGTTAGAATAGGAAGTGGGAAAGGAGAGCGGTGGGCTATAAATTTCAGTGTGATCGTATTATTCCATAGCTCCACAACGTGAAACTGTCCTCTCTAATCTCTAATGGAAAAGCCACAAGAAAATCTTCAAGAGGAAAGTGGGTTTAATTCATGTATTAAACTTGAAATTACATTAAGGGAAACTGTTTACCTAGCCCAAACAGAACCAAACAAGCCCAAGAGCAAAACTAAAGTACACCAAGAACTGGTTATGGGAACACATGGGACAAATTTAAAGGTCCAGAAGAGAATAAGTGAACTCTCCCAATGTATAATGCTGCTGTTTCTGAATTTGTTAATTATGGAACTGTTTACATTGAAGTGAACAATTCTGAGTGACTAATAATGGTTCAATGAGACCATTAATATAATTTAATGTCATTTTTTAAATAATGTTAGATTCAGGCAATATACATGCATCACAATTTGCCAATTAAAAAATAAATGTATGAGCCAATACTTAGGCCAAAGTGTGGTTCTTCTCAGTATGTAAATAGGTACAAGAACTATAAATATTGCATAAAAAGTCTTGTCCATGAAATGTGTCTTTTGGAATTATCTCCTTCCATTAGAATGCTCATTTTGATGATCCTGAGAAAATAAAGCTGTTCATAAATTTTCATTCTATCTTTAGACTATAAGTTCTTCAATAAAGAGCATACATTTGTCTTTATTCAGCACAATTCTGCAATTACACAATACTCTATAAATAAATAATGCAAGTTATGGCAGCTGGTTTTAAATGCTACTTTATCCTTTAACTGAATTTAAATTTATGTCTTAATTGCTGGCTGTGCCTTCAAATTTAGCTGGCAAGAAATGGATAGACACTTGCATTCTCATGGCAGGGGTTTTAATGGCCTATGACATTTTTAATAGACTATTTTTTAGAGCAGTTTTATGTTGATAGCAAAATTAAGCAAAAAATAGAGTTACCATATACCCCCACCGTTACTTATAGCTTCCCTCACTGTCAAAATCCCTCATTAGAGAATTACATTTTTTTTTTTTTACAATCAATGTACCTACATGGACCTATCATTATCACTTATAGTCCATAGTTTACATTAGGATTCATTCTTGTGGTGTATATCCTATGGGTTTTGGCAAATGAATAATGACATGTATTCACCATTATACTATAATACAAAATAGTGTCATTGCCCTAAAATTCTTCTGTGTTCTGGCTTTTTGTGCCTCTTTCTCACTCCCCCTCAACCCAGTCCCTGCTGTCACTAACATTTTTGCTTTCTCCATAGTTTTGTCTTTTCCAAAGTGTCACATGGTTGGAATCATACAATATGCAGCCTTTTCAGATTGCCTTCTTTGACTTAGTAATATGCTCTCTGTTTTTTTTTTTTTTTTCCCATGGCTTGAAAACAGATTTCTCCATGTTTTTTCATGATTTGAAAGCTCATTTCTTTTTAGCACCAAATAATTTTCCATTGTATGGTCATACAACAGTTTATTTATCCATTTCTAACTGAAGGACATTTTTGTTGCTTCCAAGTTTTGGTCATTATGAACAAACCTGCTATATAAGCAATTCTGAATAAAACTACGTACAGGTTGTTGTGTAGATGTGAAGCTTTCAAGTCAGTTAAATTGTGAGAAAAAAACATCGGTGGATTGTATGGTAAGAGTATGTTTAGTTTTGTGAGAAACTGTCAAAGTATCTTCCAAAATGTCTGTACCATTTTGCATTCCCATTAAAAGTAAGTGAGAGTTCTTGTTGCTCAATATCCTTGCCAGCATTTGGTCTTATCAGTGTTTTGGATTTTGGCCATTCTAATAGAAATGTAGTAGTATCTCAGTGTTTTAATTTGCAAGTTTCTAATGCCACATGCTATCAAACATTTTTTATGTGCTTATTTTCTTTGATTAGGTGTCTCTTCAGAACTTTTGCTCAGATTTTTCATTAGTGTGCTCATTTTCTTGCTGTTTAGTTTTAAGAGTTCTTTGTATGTTTTGAATAACAGTCTTTTATGACATGTGTCTTTCAAAAAT